AGCAGCAAAGCCAGTGAATGTTTTTTTTTTTGTTTGTTTGTTTGTTCTTAAAGTCTTGTTCTTCTGTGCATCACCTTCCTGTGAAACTCATACATTATAACCGAAACTGGATCTCCAGGAAAGGTACAGCTCTGGGTTATCAAATATACCACATCCAGGTGCACTGAATTTATAAAAAAAAGATGCTTGAGTTTCAACAGATTTATAAAGAAGTGCAACAGAATTTATAAAAAAAATGTCAAACTTAGCTCACTGACAAGTTGTTCTGCTTTCAGAAGACGCTGAGGGCACCATATGTGGTCCTCGAGGGCCTCTAGGTGCTTATATGTGACCTTTAATATAAACACTTAGTCAGCACTGAAGAAGATGCAATCAGGTCTGAATGCTAAAAGCCTTGAGCAGTTTGAAATGAAAGCAGCCTAAGCAACCTTCAGTTTTACCTAGTTATTACGCCACTCAGCTGCTACTCAGACTATGTATCTAGAGCATGATTTTAACCCCTAGAAGGTCAGTTAATCATAAAACACAAAATATCTATGAAGGGCAAAGCAGCATACAAAAGGGAAGGTGGCTAAAAAGTTCAGGGACATAAAAAGTCCAGATTTGATAAACATAAAATCTTGACAAATTCTAAGAAAATACCTTTAAATTGTCATTAGGAACTATTTTTAATGGTTTAATCTGGAGATGAACAAAAAGAAAGGGTGGTTACCTGTCACAATAAACTGTAAGACTGTCAGGGTAGCATTAACGATTTTTCCTGTAACTCAGAAAACGGCAAAGTTAATCATCAGGGGTTTTTTGCCATTTTTATGTAAATGCTGTATTAGAAAATGTTAATATAAAATTCGGTTGCAACCAAGACCAAAGGTGACCAAAAATGTCTGTACACAGCCATATTATTTGCTCCTTAATTTCTAAGGAATTTTGTCAAGTAAAAATAAAGCCATTCATGTTCAGATATCACTGAAATGTAGAATTTTGCCACTTTGAGATGTACAATTGTCGGTTATAATTGATCAGGGCATCTTTTTCACATTAAGAAATATACTTGTGCTATTGTTGCAAATAAGGCTTAATCGGAGCTTCCTCCTCCATCATGTCGAACTACACCTGGGCAAGGCACTTAACCCCAAGTTCCCAACAAATATGAGGGATGGGGCATAACTCTGTGCTCTATTGAGAGTGAAATCAGATGACACACTCATAAGTGCTCTAAATGCTGTGTGTGCGTGTATGTGTGTGACTAAAATGGCCACATAAATACAGCCAATTTGTTCAATGTATCCGATTTGCTGAAGCAGGTAATTTAATAGGGGGAAGGATTTCCTTTCAAAAAGTCATTTTGGGTTCGACTCTTCTGTAGACGGACGTACTGCTGGAGCCCTTCAGTCAACTGTCGAAAAAAGGTTCAAAATGAATTTCTAAATTCCCCTTTTCGTTGAAATGGAGATAAATACACCCCAAATATCCCCAAATATAAAATTCTAAACATATTTTGAATTTTTAGGAGCAAAAACATTCATAAAATGCATTATAATGCATATGAGAAGTTGAAATCATTCATCCAGTTAAACAGAAAAAATAAATCAGGCTTAGAGTTTAAAAGCTACTTTAAATTTTGCATTTTTGCCAATAAATACTAAATTGTATTAAGTGCAAGAACAGGGCCACTGATTCCTTAAACATGATAAATAAAGAAAATGTAATGTATTTCCTGTAGATTTAAGGAGTGCATAAAGAATAAATATTACTTTTCTCTCAGAGAGTAAAATAATACCTCTTCTTCTAATGCCTTTTACTTCAGATTAAAATAAAATAGATTATGCATTAACACACAGTATGTAAGAGAAATTGCTGAGTTTCTGATTGCTACAATCACAAGCCGAGGTTTTCATCCCTTTGAGATTGATGAAACATTGTTCTCCTGCAAAAAATTATGAAATAAAACAGTTCAAGATGAAAATTCATGACATTGTAAGTAGAAAAAAAATGCACACAGACAGCTTTAGAGAAAAACACAGCTCACTTCAGTAACATTAAAAATATCTCAGGTTAATATTCAAGGCTGTTCTCTTAGCTTGTTTGATAAATAATGCAAAGAAAAGCAGCGTTCTTTTCTTCTACATTGCTTTTAAACAGGATAAACATTTCAAAAAGATGTTGGTTCCAGCCATCATTTAAAAAGCTGGTTTAAATCCAAACTTATATTTTTCTTTAATCACCAATTAGAGTCTGTTTACTCTGGTTAATAGGCTTAAAAGGTTAAAGAGGTCAAAATTACATAAGACAGCTTTTTTTTTTTTTTTGGAACATATGCACTTTCATTTGCAACTCTCACAAAACTGCCAAAGGCTGGCTGTTCACAGCCAAGAGTTTAGTCCCATTTAATGTAAACTACTAATTACCAAAGTCCCAGAGATTTTAGCCCCATGGGTGCTTGCTTTGTGCATAAGTGTGGAGGAGATTTTGAAAAGAAAAGAGAGCATGTTAGGTTATTCAAGAAATTACTCAAAATAATAAATGTAAAAAGATGCCAAGCACCTACACTAAACATAAAATAATAACAAAAAAGCATTAAAGCTAGGAATGCTCTAAAGAGGAGGATATACAACATTGAACAGAGGTGGATAGGATATATCATATTAATATGACATACTATTAGATCAGTTTATTCTGAATTTAACAGATGGTTCTATAAAAACCAATATCTGATAAATATAAAGTTAATAGCCTGTGCAAAGCTATTACAAAAGAATGGGGCAGAGTGGATCCCCGACCAGGGAGTAAGAGAATATAAGAATCGTAATTGAAAAAATGACACATTCCTTATATCTAGCAGATACACGAAAGATAAGTGGGGGTGTCTGATCCAGTAGGCGGGCTACTGGAAAAAACCGAGAAGATAGAGCATGTTCCTGAACAAGCTTAGGAAAAAAATCCAATAAAACAATTTCCAACACATTTCTACACATCCCCGAAACACAAAGTATTCAAACATTCGAGTTACCTTGTAGAAAATAAGCATGCATTTAATGTTTTTATATTGAATCAATTCAATGACATTACAGTGCAAACGAACCCCTGGAGAGAACAAAGGATTATGGACACACATAAGTCAAGGGTTTGTTCACACCTGGACAGCGTGGGTGACATCAACGTGCCCGCTCTCTGACGTCAACACTAACCCGAGTGGACGAACTTCCGAGTGCTCTGGGCTTTTTGTGTTGTTTATTTCAGGCACAGGGGGTGAAGGACACTTCTCTGTTCTTTATTTCAAACACACCCTCATGACTTTTGCAGCTCCATCTCCCTCCCCTTTTTCACTCAAATGCATTAAAGCAGCTCACTCAGTCAGGAAGCATGCAGCTGATCACACGCACATCTTCAAATTTCAGCATGTTTTTGCTCTTTTTTTTTCTCTTTTTTTTTACTTAAAAACTTATAACCAGACTTTTTCTATCCTTTCATTTTCTATATTCTCTCAATGATACCATGAAAAGGTCCAGACAATGCCTAATTGTACTTGATGTTCTCCATAGTGCCTGTACCACGCTTCTCTCTGGGCAGTTATCTCCTCCCACATTTCAAAAACTGTTAGGTAAATTGGTCTCTCTAGATTGCTTTAGTTATAGTCTGTGTACGTCAGTCCATCCTGTGCGTCTCTGTGACCTATGACTTACTGGTGAACATGCTACACTCAGAAGGAGGCATGTTTATGGGATAACCAAAGAAAACTAAATGCAGGAAAAAATAATTGTGTCAAACTCTGCACAGTTATGTTACCAGGTTGTCTTTTTGTTTTGCCAAAACCAATTAGTTTTTATGCTTAAATTAAATGTATTAAGAGAGAATTTGGAAGTTAGGAAATTATTTATCAGGGCCTCCTGGAAATGAACAGAGGTGTGTAAACTTCTAAGAGCCAAAATTGGAGACCAATTTTTAATATTTTGTCATTTTTAATAAATGCTGGCCCCAAGCGGTCATTAATAAAATATTGGACAAAAGCTCATATTTAGCTTGTTACTTTGGAACTTTCTGAATGCTTTCAGCATGCTACTGGCTGCAGTCAGATGTTTTAAGAGGTTAATAGTTAATTAACCCTGCAATTGATGCTCAAATGGATCAAAGCGAGAAAAAATAATTTCATAACTTCAAATAATTAATAAGATGCTTTACTCTCCCTTTAACTCCATCAATATAAAGGAAGCAAAAAATTAAAAGAGAAATTCAAATCAAAAGCCAGACAAGAACAAAACAAGGAGTTAAAAAAATTTTAACAAAACTATGAGGGACAACACATGACCAAAGAGGAAAATAAATATGAAAATGTATAAATAAACCGAAGAGTCACCAAAAATTCGGCCACCGAATGTGGATTTATGGTTTTCAGCCAGTAGACATTTAAAACCGAAACAACACGGCTGAAACTTGTGATGGTGCAACAAAAAGCACACCCAGAAATAATGAATAAATAAATATAAATGTATGTATACACAAAATGGGACAATACATAAAAATGCGCAAATAAATGGAGAATTAAGAGAAGAAAAAAAAAAGAATTAGCCTTTTTTCAGTACCAAGTCATATTTACTTAATTATTCGCTTACTTATGCATTTATATGTGTGTTCATTTATACGGTTATATGTGTATTCATTTATTCATATGTGAAATTATTTATTTTCATGTCCATGTATATGATCACATGCATATGCATTTATTAATGTGTATTTAGCTATTTTCATGTTCATTTTTGTTTTGTCATTTCTCATGTCTCATAGAAAATAACCAAATTCTCCTTTTCAATACAAAAAAGTTAAACTAAAGCCAGACTTACTGATGTCTGCAAGTTATTTGCCTTGTGTGCAATGCAATAACTATCATGTTTTTTGACTTAAGTGTTAATTAAAAAAGGATTTCTTTTTTGTTTTTGAAATCAATAGACATCTATAGACATTACAACTATAGAAATACAAACATAGACATTTAGGAAAAATACCTGTGATGGCTGACTTGCAGCTCTCCAAGCAGCTGATTCTTGAACCACTGGTCAAAGTCCACATTGTCAAACAGTTCATATGCTGCCAACCCCACAGCATTGTAAACTGTAAAAAAAACCAAAAAAAAAAAAAACAAGAGAAAACTGCATCAGCCTGTGGCAGCAGATAGAGTAGTAGATGCTGGAAAAATAAATAAAAAATGAATTGGAAGGGAACAGCATTGTATCAAATGGGCTTCCATCTTGGTTGTCTTTATTAGCTGATGCAAAAGCAAAGGATTATGGGTATGCACCAGACATGTTACATGGATAACTCAAACAGATGCCTCCATATGTTCAAGCACACTACCCTTCTATTTATAGCCTGTAAAAGGATATAAAATGTCAAAATGCAACTGCAAAGCAAAGCATTACACCAATGTAGCATTAAGTGTTTCTGTCAATACAATAATTTCACTATAAAATTTGATCTATTTAAACAAAATTGGTAAAATGTTCGAAGGCAGATTCTCACATTTGCCTTTATTTTGAAATGTAGGTATTTGTTTTTCCCCACCTCTTTTTGTTACTGGGATAGGAACTAAAACTTTGATAAGAGTATAAAATACTTTAAAGCTGGCATTGGTCCCACCTGTCACGCAGCATCTGTGCTGCTACAGTGGTTAGAACTTGCTGCTAATTAAGCCGAAGCTCCCTGAACCTTCAGCTACTGGGACCCGTCTCCCTGATCGCTGAGTGTAGGCAGACCAACACCTCGGGGAAGAGTCCTGGTGGTTCCAAACCTCCAAATTTAACAATGAGGGAAGACATTGCACTCAGTGGGAACTTTAAAGGAGCAGATATGTCTCTGGATCTTTTCCGTGATTTGTGCCTCAAGACAATCACAGTTATGTCTATAAACGATTCCTTTGATTTCATGCTTGGTGTTTACACTCTGACGTGGATCATAAATTGTAGATAATTTAAAAGACTGGTCCTAATCATCTCCAATCAGCTGAATTTGTGCTGTGGAAACTCTTCAAGGATCATCAGTGGGGAAAAGTATGTACGTCAGCTTCATTTTGAGCTTCATTGTGAAGCCTGTCAATACCTACAAAACAAAACTTCTTGGTTTTCCATTTATGATTAAACTGAGGCAATGTTCAAGAATGGCTCTGGACAAAAGCATTCAGACAAATTTGTCTGGGTGTATATCCCAGACAACAAAAACCTAGAAAGATTTTTTTTCCTAATTCAACTGATAACCAAACAAGTTTTTATCTTCTGCTGGAAAGCCGAATTCTAGAATTGTTGTACTTTTTTATATTATCTAGCATGGCATGTGATACTTGTGTATTCCATCTAATCTTCCTTGTATCATGGCTAAATTTCCCCACTATCTGACAAATATATTTTAATTCATTCTATATCAGAATAAGTATAAAATACTAATAAATTGTTTAGTCACAAACATCTGTTCTCTAACCAATTACCATAAAACTATTGCAGCATTTTCAAAGTTTTAACCTACAGATTGAAAAAATTATTGGAATCAAAAAAACTTTAATTTTAGCTGGATTCCATTTTTTAATTTGTTGAAGTATAGATGATCAACCTTTTTTTTTTTCAGCTATATCTCACATTGCGTCTTGTTTTAATTTTTCCTTGCCCAGTTTAATATGCCCTAGGGATACAGTAAAATTAATTCTTGGACAATATTAGTTGGACATTATTTGATTTTATTTGATTCCCTTGCAAGAGCTGTATTAAAACATTTGCATTTATAGTGGTTCCAAAAAAGCATCTCAGGAGGCTAATGGTTTACTCCACTACACTTGCTCAGCTCTGATGAACAGTATTACAGGCGGTGAAAGGTAACACTGTCCATGCAGCCTGTAAAAATTACAAATTAAGGAGGTGATAAAAGTTCTCGGTGAATCGCTAAAATCAAAAATTTTAATTCTTTATATTTTTCAACATATAATAGAAAAGAGCAGACCTCTTGGACTACACCTCCTGCAGAGAGTAACACAGGTTTATAAAAAACAGATGAGGTTGCTTCTTGATTGAAGAAAAAAAGATACTTTATAGAGAATGGCAAAAAGTGAAGGAAGCTGTAGGAAAAACTTTTCAGCGTCATTTTTACACCCTTTTATGATTCTTGCAACACAAAGTTAGAATTATTCATGAAACTAGCTTACCTCCTTTTAATACCTAGCAGAAGATACAATCTGAAAACCAAACAAAGCAGTTACCCTCCTTTATTATTGGTTAATAATTAATCTCCTGGAAACAAATGCTTAATGAAAATAGCCTCTTGGCTAATTCTGATGCATTTGCAGCAATGCTAATTAATGTACACTGTCCCTGTCAAATAAATAAATAAATAATATAAAGTAAATGAAAAAGAGAGACCTATTCACACCACTTAACGATTTGTCACATAAAGCTACCAGCTTTGATGTATTAAGTTGGGATAAAATGCAATGGACCAACACGAAGTAGAGCAGAGTTGTGCTGTCAAAAGGAAAAATAGTGGATTCGACTTAAACATTTCTTTTTCTTAATGTTCAAATTAAAATATGAGATGTGTGGCTTTTCCTCATATATAACCACTTGCACTTTAATGGCTATAAAACAATGATGCTGCAATGAGTAAACAGACTTTATATTCCTTCTGATCAAACAAAGCTGATTTGTGACTGCCTCGGAGGTTTATTAGGGAACATCAGTTTAAAAAAAAAAACAAGCAGCTTAGAAACCAGAGTACTTTGATGTATAGTGAGGTTATAAACCTGTAATCAGGTTTAAAGACATGTCTCTTCATTATTTAGTCTGGTTCAGCTAATCCTAAATGCTCCTTGGTTCTCCCTGATGTTCTTTTACATCATAATCCTTGTTAAAAACAAATAAATTAACCATTATCCTCACTGGGTTCACACACAGCTCTCAATCCACCTCTATGGTACCACAGCTTCATCATCCCACAGGGTGTTTACATTTTTATCTACACTGTCAGGGCACCTCTGCAGTCTCTAAGAAGTATCTAGGTGACTGAGTCGCTTTAGGGCGCACCATCATTTGTGTGTGTGTGAAATAAATCTTAATGAGAGGCCATGCTCCTCTGCCAGAGAGGCATGCTTCCCAAAATGAGCTGGAGATAACAAAAAGTGAAGAAAAGATGCAATAAGGTAATACAGTAAGTAAGTCCATAGTGAAAAATTTGTGATTCAGTGCCCGTAAAAATATGCAATTATATTTGTTTACAAAAACAAATGTATAACAATTTATCACATTGAAGATAGTAATTATATTTTTAAAAGATGTGGATTAAATGTTATCAGTTTTTAAAGAACAGGATCAGGGAACTTTCGACCAACCTGCATCCTTCATTAGCAACTGAACAGGATCCTCCACATTGGTTGGACCTGCAGGGAAACAACAAACGCTGATGAAAAAAATTGCAACTTTTATTTTTACTCTACAATATCCAAACCAGTTTTATTTTTACTTTGCAAGTTCAGTTTTACATTATATCATAAAAAACAGTGTAGATATTTGCACAATGAAGCATCAAAACAATAGCCTTCAGTATGTTCAATAGAAACAATAAAGAAATTTAAAGTTCAGCATAGAGCTTACATAACAGTGAAAACTCCCTGCCCCTCATAAGATCTCCAAACAAGTGCCATCAATCTCCATAACACCGAAAAAGTTCAAGTTGCCCACAAAGAGTCAATATCTTGTGTGGCTACCATTATTTTTCAACACTATCTTAATTTATTTCTGCTTTTCCACAACTACATTTTATTGAGGGGTATGACTTTAATGCAAACATTACATGATTTTCTATTTACATTACCTGGTAGAACATCATTGAGACTCATCAGAAAATAATCCATGCAGTCTGCATATTGTTTATACTTACCAATGCTTTATTAAGCTGTACAGGTCTAAACATATGTCTGTTTTGCATGTAATTTATTCAGATGCTAACATTAACTCGAGTTAAATGTGATAAAAGGGGGGGGGGGAATCTCTGATGGATGGCTGTCAATTAACACACACTTGCACAGAGATAATCACTTAGTCAGAACTTGCCAACAGCTGGAGCTGAAACCACTAAAATATGCAGCAGAGACAAACAGCAACACATTACTAAAAGTCAGAGCCTTCCAATCAGAATATAAGATGGAGGTAAACGGCTACAAAATGTGTTTCTGTGACGTCGAATGCATAGACTGGCAATGGCAGTCCCAAGATTTCTAAAACAAAAGATTTAGCTTGCAATACAAGTTAGCAGAAAAAGATGAATAAGATAAGTTGATTAAACTTTGCACTGACCCTGCAGATTTTGAACCATATCCAGGAGAACTGGTGTCAGGGTCTGACTGTAGTTGTGGAAGATGTCCAGGAACAACACCTCTGTGCAAGGCTAATAAAAGAAAAAGAAGCAGAAACAGGAGAAGTTAATGAGCTGTCATTATACCTTGATTCAACACCACACCCTGTGAACCCATATCCCAGTAACCATGTTTCTATTAAAAGCATAAATTCAACATTATGGTCAGAAATGGAGTCATGATTTTCCTGACAAAGATCCCTCAAACTTCACTCTGAATTATTTTGCTATCATATCTATGCTAAAATTAGGGCTGGATGATCTGGGCAACACTTCTAGGTTCATTTGTTCCCCACAGGAAGGAGAAAACCCATAAAGATATTTTGCTTCAGTCCACACATTGCCATTTCTTTTCATTTACAGGTTTGTTTGAAACATATGGATATATAATATGGACACTCTAGCCTCCTTAAAACAGAACAACAAACACACTTTTCTATGCAGTATTTTGCCTGAAAAAACAGCATCTTATAAACAATATTAATAAAAATAATGTATGTGTAAAATTTACTAAATATATTATAAATAACAAATAAGTGCTAAAAACGCTTTATAAGAGTTGATAAGAGTAGCACCATCAGAAATCCAGAAGTAAGCTGTGGTCATGTTGCCCGACTTCCCGACTCAGATTTCCAGCTTTTTGGATTGTTTCATTTGAAATTATCAACTCAGAGGAAAAATCAGACTTTTAAATTGAAATGACCCATATATGTGCACCATAGAAAACCCAAACCAGATGTTAGCACAACAGATGAAACAATGATACAAGCGATGGCTGGTATTACTTTGGATTACAAAATTATACATGTTTAGAAGTGCTTTATAAATGAGTGAAATTCATTACTTCCACCAAGGAGGTTTATGTTTTTATGTTTTTGATTTGTCTGTTTCCAAAATAACAAAAAATGTTATGAACAGATTTCAGTTAAATTGTTAAGAGGTGCGCCTCAGGCCAAGGAAGAAGCCATTAAATATTGCAGATGATCTGGATCATAATCTGGATATAGGATTGTTTTAAAAGATTCTCTAACATTGTGAGATGCAGATATTTTCGTGGAACAAGCAGTTCTTCACTATACCAGAGGGGGGCAGCAGTGACTATCGACAGCCTCAGCATCGGACTCAAAATGTCCAGAGGTATTTTACTGAACGTTGTTACTTTGTAAGCAGGATCAATTGAAATCTTACGAGAGGATTTTATGGAAAGACATTTTACCAGAGATGTGCTTCATGTCATTTACATTTGGTAATGATCTAGATCATGTGTCAGTTTTAGCTATAGGAGTAAGTCACAATTCCAGGCAACATTTGCTGCTTGGCAGAGGTCTGCGCTCTCAGAGTGCATTTAAATTAATGTAACATTATGTGTACGATACGCATAAGTACAAGCTGGATGTATCTGTGTAATGTAAATTCAACTTACCCTTAGACTGTACTTCCAAGAGTCACCACCAGTTTCCTCAACAGCTATTAAAATGATTTTTAAAAAAATGCAATCATTAGAACTTTACATCCACATTTTATGCCCGTTTCACAACAGCAACTGTGTTTATGCTGACTGATAACTAAAAATAATGTGTTTCTACATTTGCATAGTTCCATCTTACGGTTCTAGAAGTTCAAATCCATTATTTCATATAAGATGTTTTCCTATAAAAATCAAGAGGATTTTTGAAGTGCCAAGGAATGACCCTATAAAAAGCCAGATCAACTGGTTAGTTCCACTAACCTGTTAAGAGTTTAAATTCAGTTTCAATTCAGTTTATTTATATAGCGTCAATTCACAACACATATCATCTCAAGGCACTTCACAGTTCACCAGATCATAGTCAAATTGATTAAAAGTTTTCTATCAAAGGAAAACCAGTTGATTGCATCGACTCATTGACTCGGATGCAATCCCTCACACTAAGCATGCTTGTAGCGACAGTGGAGAGGAAAAACTCCCTTTTAACAGGAAGAAACCTCCAGCAGAACCAGGCTTCCAGCACTCATGACTCACTTCTTTAGATTTCACAAATCTATTGTTTTGAGCATAAATCAATAACATATTTTAAACAATTTCAGACGATACACACATAGACAACTCTGAAACATTCAAAAACTAACCAATTTCCCCCAGTTTCAAATGTGCTCAGATTTATTAGACTCAAATTGTTTTCATGAGCTTAGGAAACCTACCAAAGCTCTCAGGGTCCTCCTCCCACATGGCCAGTTCTTCTTCTGTGAGGAGGAAGTAGTGTGAAACAAGCCGGCGCCCAATTTCCGTCAGTGTGGGGTGAGTGAAGAAGGCTGTCTTGATCTTATGAGCCTCTAGACTTTCAGGTTTACTCTCTAAAGAACAGGGAAAGGAAAACACAGTTGAAAAACATAGGAACAAAACACAGTCCATATGTCATATAAAGATAAACCAGCAGTTTTCCTTTTAATTTTTTTTTACCTTTAAGCCATTCTTATTTTTAAATTACTTCACCAGGTTAGCATGGTGTATGTTTATTGAATAGTATTTAACTTTTTAACTTTTATTGTATCCATTTAATAAATATTAAATATTATATATATTGTTTTTGTCATGTAGTTAAACATATTATATACAGCCATGGACATGGCATTTTACTTTTTTAGACCCTGTTTCAGGGATTCCTGCACGATTTTAGTTTCAAATTGTTTGTCAGCAGAATGTGATGTGTACCCTAAAATGAAGACATCAAAGTGTTGCTTTACCATAATAGTCTCTCTAATTTAGGTCTTACCTGCAAAAAAAAAATTAAAAAAACTATGGGACCAATGCGCTTAACACAAAATGCTAAAGCAAAGAAGAATTGCAGGATTAAGTTTTAGAGAGATTGGCATCTAATGTGTAAAAAACGGACATCTAATGTCTGTTTTTTACACATTAGACAACTAGCTGCCAGAAGCTTCTGGGAATTCAGCTTGAAAAAACATAAGTCTGTGTCACAACTGTAATTAAAAGCAAACAGGCAGGGATACAAAAACCCTTCCAAAAGTGTGAAAACATGAATGTCTCTCACTCACTTTCAAGTTGATACCAAAATGTCAATATTTTTGGAAAGCTGTGAAAAGACTCTGGTGTATCTTTAGCTTCACTCTCAACAAGGATCATCAGGTATCTTATAAAAGACGACGTGCAGCATCATAAAAATTCACCGTAAAATAATGGAAAAACAAACAACTAGGTTATAACCAGGAATGGCATAAAATGAACCTAATTGGAGAAATCTCCGATATGAAGAAAATAACATTTTACCAGAGGATCAAAGAAAGAGTTTGAGGAAAAATATAAAGCTTTATTTTGCAGACAAATATCACAATTAGTTTCCTTATGTGTGTTTCACAAATTGATTAGAAAAACATTTCTGACGTTAGTGATAAAGGGAATAGGCCACATTAAAAAAGGTGTATGAAGTCCATGTATATTTATAGTCCTCTGCAGATCTCTGCTTCAAGCGAGGGGAAGTTTATTCATACAGCACATTTTAGTAGCAAGGCAATTCAAAGTACTATGAATAAGAACAATAAAAGGTAGACTATGGTGGCATAAAATTACCATGTATAATTAAAAAACTAAAATTATTAATTGTAATAATATCACTATACCCAGATTTGGATTGGTGGTTTCCAGCTGTATTGAAATAAGCTGTGTGTTAAACTTTTAAATGTTCTTACTTTGGTCCAAAACGCATTACTTCAGTTTTGTTTAGATTTGGCAGAAGGAAATGTTGGCATATCCATGCATTGATTTCTTCTATGCATTTACCCAGTGGTTAAATTGGTTCAAACTCATCAGGTGACTTGGTAATGTACAGCCGTTTGTCATCTGCATAGCTATCGTAATATATAGTATTGTTTATTAAGAACTAAGTTAGGGGGAGCATGTGTGTAGTTGCCTATTGACACACATGGGTCCCTGTCCTTTATGTAGGATTTAAACCAGTCAAGTGCTTTACCAGAAAAACAGACCCAGTTTTCCAGGCAAAGAATTATCACCAGCTTCCAATACTGCACTAAGGTCCAATAAAACCAGCACCAGGTTCTTCCGGTCAGCATTTATAGTTTTTGTAGTTTATTGGGTTACACTGGGAAAATTTGTCAAGATCAGCTCTACTTGGGGACAACTCTGGTGCTGGACTTAATATGGATGTACAAACTGCCCTTCAGACAGTTTACAACTCACCATCAATGTTCTTGGCAGGTTTGTATGTGTCATTCTTTACGATCAGCTTGATGAGGTTCATGCACTGAACAATGAAGCGTTCGAAGGTCACTCCCTCTCCAGCAGGTGTGAAGACATAGGTGACAGCAAACTCCAGGGAGCGCTGGATTAGGGGAATGAACGCACACGGATGGTACTCCAGGAAATCCAACAACTATATAACAACAAGGGGAGAAAAGTACAGAAATGACAAAAGGCTACGGTTAGAAACTACAAGCAGAAAGCTGTTCCTTTTTATAGTTATACATCCAATTTCCATTTACTTACAACTTTAGTGTACAGAATAATTGTCTTTTCCAGTTTTTCCCTGCATGGGCTCTCTGAACCGACTTGCCGACCTGAAACCAAAAAATACAAATGATATATATCATATTCTTTCATAAGCATTAAATGAGCTCAATTCTCAAATGCCAGACATCATTTTTGATGCATGCTTCTGAGCAACCAAACTGAATACACAACTAGGACTTATAGTGAAAAACTGATGTACTATGAATACAAAGGAAATAAGCTCTTCTAGCATAACCTTTTTATTGTACAAAAATACATAAAAATAAGTTAATTTGGTTAATTAATTTTTGATTAGTTAAAAAAAAAACTAAGAAATAGTTTAGACCTATGATTTGATAAAGCAAATATTCTTGAATTTTTGAATGTATTTGTCATGTAGTACTTAAAGAAAGCGTTTCTATGGTCACTGATGATTTGCTTTAAATCACCTTAGAAAATTCTGAGCAATTTCTTGCTTTCAACTCCTACGTATCAACAACCTTGGTAACATCCATAACAACAAGCAGGAACAACTGGATCCCTGCTGTTTTTCCTCACAATACGAGCAAACAGTAAAAAAAAAAAAAAAAAACAATAGACATACTGCAAAGGGTATAAAAGATGCTTTACTTTTTCTGCTTATTTCAGGGTAAAAAGAGTCTTTCAAAGAGATATTTTAAATGGAAATGTATATAGAGGCAAATTTTATTTCAACAGCACTAAATTCATTTTGAGAAAACCTATATACAGTATATTTGCTCTCCCCAGTTCTATAAACTGAAGCTAATTATGTTTTTTTTTATTCAGGATCCTAAGAGAACTGCTGTCCCTATTTGCTCTGTTGCATCTAATTGCAGAACAATTTAAAAGAAAATGAAGAAACAGCAGCCTACATTTGCAAATGAGAAGGCAGCTGAATATGTTAAATATTCTTACATGGACTATCAAGTCCTAGTTGACTTATTGGTGAATACATTCTTAGTTGATCAACATTCTTATTAGTCGACCAATTTGCCCGTTAATCTCATAAAGGCCGTTTCTCAATTCACAAGAACGCGAGTATGGACTTGTGTCATCGCCAAGTATGTTCTTGAGAAGAACACAGAAGTGTAGACTCGGGGAGAACGGGAGCAGGCAGCATAAATATGGGTCAATTGGAACAGAAGCGTACTCGTGACATCACCACATGCTTGGCTCGTCTGGAGCTGCATTTATCCTTCTGTTATTAATAGTCCCAAGATAATAATAAACTTTTTTTGTTTTTTTCATTTTGTGGGGGAAAAATAATAATGAAAACAGTCAGATGCACACAAATAAAATGCACATTTTGACAATATGAAACAAAAAAATCTGCATCAGCAGTAGCGGTACTTCACACACCGTTATGAGAGAGGGCTGCTGCAGACGTAAACAGTATAATGTTTTCGCCTCAAATTATCCTAAAACGTACTCTTAAAGAACAAAGAAGAAAGAAAAGAGATCTTTTAGCTAAATACTCTGAGCTCTGTGAGCACTCCATTGGAAGCTGCTGCTGTTTCGGTGCATGCTGGGACAGCTGTCAATCTCAAGAATGGTCAAGTCTGCTCTGATGCATGCACATTAAAGAGGGAGGGGAAAGAACAACATCCGGGGACTTTGTCCGTTCTCGGTTTTGTGCAGTACTAGGGGTGAGGCTGATGACGTTTCACGAGTACACGAGCACATGGGAACGCACAAGTACACATATTGAGAAATGGCCACAGCCTGTCTTCTTAGAACATCCCCTTCTTTTCAGTATTTTGGATTAGCCCTACACACAGTGTATGTAGAGAGAAGTACGTCCATGTTATTAAACATCCAAAGATTTGCTGAATATTTAATATTGTTTAGCGTTTAACTTACAGTGAGAGTTCTTGAGCATCTATGTGAAAGACAATCAGCAATATGGCAGAATTTTGCAAAAATAGATGGCAGAAAAAAAGCTGAAAAAAGTTGCCAACAACAGTTTGTATATCACAGCTCAACTACTAACAGGGTGTATCATCTGAAAACAGTAGGCCTAATATTTCTATATTACAGGCTATTAATATCATATCAAATATATATCAGTTTTGTAACTGTAGGCACACCCACAACAGCGGCAGCATCTGATAGATACACCCAGACCGCGTCGGATGTTAAACCTCCAACCTAACCCAAAAATGATATAACAGAAGTAAGTGTCAATTTTATTGCTTAAGATAAAAGGCCCATCATTCTAAAAGGTTGTAAAAGTCTCTTAAAAGACAGACAGAGGGTAAAGGCAGTTTAGATTTATTTATTCATTATACAGACATTGAAACAGTTTCAAGAGCTTCTTATTCAACTTTAATTTTATTTACTTTTTTACATGTTTTAGGTTATTTTCCATTTAAGAACCTGATTGATGTGATAGTGCTTGATTTTTGTATGATTTTATGTAACTGAATGTATCCTTCAAGGTTTTCTTATTTATTTGTTATTGTTCTTACACTACAGATAACTTGTGCACATCCCTGCAGCAATTTAAACCTAAAAGTATGAATCAAATGACACTTTTTGCGAATAGAATGCAGAGTATATTATTACTTATTACTTTCAGCAACACTAGATGATTCACACAAACAGGAGACTGTAAACAGCGCTGCAGGTGTGTAAGGGATCTCATCGGACTCCATCTTTTTTTTTTTTTCTTTTCGGACTCCATCTTAAGATAGGGGGACTTGGGACCCCATGGGGACGTTGGCCAGCTGTGATTAATTTAATGAAACAATTGTCCTTTGGATTCCTAAAATGCTCGTGAACTGGCTGCTTCAGTGCTCCATTTGATTTATATTCTATCGGGTTTCTCACTGCTGAGATTGCATTAATAAATTACTTTACAACTGCTTTGTTAGCTTCTCTCTTATTTGTATCCAAATCGTACATTATGTAAATCCATTCACAATTGCACTGTATTGACTTTATGTCCATGCAGTTTTTATTCTGTTTGCAAGTGCGACTTCATGTAATGTTAGCAGACGTAATGCAGAGTCATCCAAGTCACAGCAGCCACACATCCACCAATCAAGACAGAAACAGGTGGGAAAAGTACTACACAGTTTATTATGCGAGCCCTGTGAGGAGTAGCAAGTCAGTGAAACAGCAGATGGAATATGATTCCAAGCTGAACGAAAAAGTGGCAGTGTGGGAGCAGTTTGGATTTCAGCAAACATGCAAACAGCTGCTCAACTATTTTACACAGAGTTTTGTTGGTATGATGCTGATAAAGATATTTCAATTGATTAAGATGGATAAAAATAGAGACTTTTTTTAATCAAATGCCATCAAATATAGATTTTGTTTTTAAACTGATTTGATTGAGTGGCCTGCCACATATCCAATTAAAAACAGAAAAGACACTCTTGGATGAGAGAAATATAACATCTAGATTGGCAAGCAGTATGAATAATTTTGGGATCAACTGTATATGAGTATGTCTTTAGGCAGGTAAATGTTCATTTGCAGATCATTTTAAATCAGGGGTCTTCAACGTTTTCGAGGCCAAGGACCCCCAAACTGATTGCGAGATGGAGCGGAGACCCCCTAATTATATATATTGTATGAAATTGTGTTATATCAAACTGATCCTATAGTCACTCTATTACATAAGGAGTCATGTAACGAAAGTAATTTCGCCCTGGGATTATTAAAGTATTTCTGAATCTGATTCCTGGTTGATGGGACAGGTGTTGTGAATTAAACGGTGCCCAGGTTTGAAAGAGCTCCTGTGTGTCGCCAATGTGTGCATTGATAACTGAAAGACATCTTCTGCTTTCATTTATCTGTTTACTACAGTGTGTTGAATTCATGTTAATGTGTATTTAAGGACATTTTAATTAGTGCAAAAAATTGCAGGAGGGAATATAAAAAAAAGTAATCAACCAAGACTTTCGCGACCCCCATGCGGTACCTCCGCGGACCCACTAGGGGTCGCGGACCCCCTGTTGAAGACCTCTGTTCTAAATGAAAAATAGGAATGTCCAGATGCAACTTTTTGATTTCCAAATGACACAAATATTCTGGCTTAGAGTATTGACCTGGTTGATACAAGATTAAGATCATCCATCAATCCGTTTTCTTCTGCTTATCTGGGGCAGGGTCGCGGAGACAGCAGTCTAAGCAAAGATACCCAGAGTTCCCAATCCACACACACTTCTTCCAGCTGCTCTGGGGGGACCCCGAGGCAACACCAGGCCATCTCAGAGACATAGTCCTTCCACCAGGTCCTAGGCCTTCCACGAGGCCTCCTCCCAATGGGACATGGCTGGAACAACTCCAGAGGGAGGCAACCAGGAGGCATCCGAAACGGATGTCTGAGCCACCTCAGCTGGCTCCTTTCGACGTGGAGGAGCAACAACTCTGCTCCGAGCTCCTCCCGGGTAACTCTTCACCCGATCCTGAAGGGTGCGCCCAGCCAACCTGCAAAGGAAACTAATTTTGGCTGCTTGTATTCACAATCTTGTCCTTTCGGTCATTACCCAGATCTCATCACAATAGGTGAGGGTGGGAACGTAGATCAATCGGTAAATAGAGAGCTTTGCCCACAATGTAAACATTGTTGGTGAAGCACTGATTCCCCCTCCTAAGGCAGCGGACAGTTTGCCAGAACACTTTCGAGGCCGACCGATAGTCCTCCTCCATTGCCTCTCCAAACTCCTCCCAGACCCAAGTTTTTGCCTCTGTGACTGCATGAGCCGCATCATGCTTGGCTTGCCGGTAACTCTCAGCTGACTTCAGAGTCCCACTAGCTAAGAAGGCCAGGTAGGTCTCCTTCTTCAGCTTGATGGCATCCCCTCCTTCCGGGCACCAGTACCAGGTTCGGGGATTGCCAACGCGACAGGCACCGTAGACCTTACGGCCACAGCTACGAACCGCTGCATCGACAATGGAGGAGGAGAACATGGACCACTCCGACTCCATGTCTCCAACCTCCTTCGGGATCTGGAAGAAACTCGTCCGGAGGTGGGAGTTGAAGACTGCACTCAGAGGGATCCACCAACAGACCCTCAGAACTAACTTAGGCCTGCCAGGTCTGACCGGCTTCCTCCCCTGCCAGCAGATCCAGCTCACCACCAGCTGGCAATCGGTTGACAGCTCAGCCCCTCTCCTCACCTGAATGTCCAAGACACGCGACCAGAGATCAAATGACAAAATTATAAAGTCAATCATCAATCTTCGGCCTAGGGTGTCCCGGTGCCACGTGCACTTATGGAGGCCCTTGTGCTTGAACATTGTTTTCGTTATGGACAAACCGTGATTAGCACAGAAGTCCAACAACAGAACACTGCTCGGTTTCAGATCAGGGAGGCCATACCCATCAATCACCCCTGTCCCGGTCTTACTGTCATCGCCAACGTGGGCGTTGAAGTCCCCCAGTAGAACAATGGAGTCCCCAGTTGAAGCACCATCTAGTACCCCTCAAAAGCACCCCAAGATGGTCAGGTACTCTACAACGATGTTGGGCCCATATGTTGAGACAACGGTGAGAGGCCTGTACCCAACCCAAAGGCGTAGGGACATGATCCTCTTCTTCACCGGCGTGAACTCCAAAATGTGCCTCTCCCCGCAGGCAATGCCAGAGAAGTGGAGAGTCCAGCCTATATCCAGGGGATAGGATCCGGAACCCAAGCCGTGCTTAGAGGTGAGCCTGACTATATCCAACCAGTACCTCTCAACCTCTCGCACAAGATCAGGCTCCTTCCCCCCCAGCAATGTGACGTTCCACGTCGTTACAGCCATAAGCTCTGGTACGGACCAGGCCGTCGAGGCACCCCACCTCGACCGCCACCCAGTGTTCTCTGCACCTGACCCCTACAGATACCTCTGTGGTGGATGGGTCCACAGGAGGGCGAGCCCACGCCGTCCTTTCGGGCTGAGCCCGGCCGAATGCAAGCTCCTGCCCCAGGCCTGGCCCCAGGGTGGGGCTCCGGCTATGCCATACCGGGCAACGTCATGGTCCTTGGTTTCCATGATGGTCTTGTGAGCTACTCTTAGTCTTAGTCACCTAGGACATTTTAGTCCTGGCACTCCTAGGCCATGGCTAAAAGGCCAAGATCCTAGGCACTCCTTGGAATATTCAGGCACTCAACACAAATCATACATACTTCTTTTGATTATAATGTAGTTTAGCATTCCTGGTTGATGGGACAGGCTTGATCAAGTGATATCAATTAAAGAGACATTTTGTCAATAACAGTAGGTATCAGAACATCTGACTCATTTATCATTAAAGGTAACAAAGTTACAAAAAGAAATTAAGTGTTTATATTAGCATGCTCATATCAGAGATTTTTGTTGGAGGCCAATATATTTCTATACTCTTTTAGGCTGATATTAGATCAATTTCCAATATCAGACTGGGATAGCCCCGTAAAAAAACATGTTTAGTGATGGAAATATTATTGTAGATATGAAGTGGCTTTTAGAAAAAGGTTTCAAACTATAGCATATTAAGTTTAGCAAACATTTTATAACTGACCATTGAGAAAAGTATTTCTTCCCTTTAGGGGGGACCAACAAGACATCTGGTTTTACCTCAGCCTTTTAAATTGCCATCAAGGAAATGTAGACAGCAGACATTTTGCATAAACCAGATGAAATAGAAATAAGTATGTTTGCTGAAAGAAAAATTAAGGATCGAAGATTGAAGTCTGGAAGAAAACAAAGTACTCACAGCATTCCAAGAACTGTTTTAGCCTTTCAAACACTGCATTCAGGAAACCCTGGAAAAAATAAAGACATATGATTCATCTGTTTACATTTCAGCAGCTGAATCATGATCACTCAACATGCATTACAGAGAAGCAGATATACTAACACATAAACTTTATGTTCATGTGCACATGGGGCCACTTTCCTCTATGTCTATGAATATCAATAAAGGCTCTGAGCCCCACAGAATGAAACAGTTTTCCAGAGCTTGGTGTTGTAGAAGCTTAGCTTGAGAAATTAAATGATAGATGGAGGGGCTATCTGTTTAATTCGGCATTAATGTTCAGCTACGAGGTCAAAAGCAGCGTCATTAATCACACATCCCAAACCTCCGTTTCAGCCAGCAGCTGAAGATCCTAACAGCGTTATTGTAGGGGAGGAAGGGTCACAATTACAGCTCAAATGACTTGGTGGGGGAATGATGGAGATCACCGATTATAACAGCCATTAGTTATAATTCTGCTGACATTTTGACAAGATGGAGAAACTTTAAATAAGAGCTATTTTTAATAATTAGAAGCTAAATGTAAACTGATTTAGTAATAATGTAAAACACTGTTTATTAAAGAATATAAAAGTACTTGCTTGATTTGTGTTTCCTACTTAACGGATGAGTGAAAAGGGAACTGTTGTAGCTTCTCTTTTAATTACCTAAGTCTGCACACTGATAACTGCTCAATGTTTGTGCAGAGGCATATTCTAAAACACCTAAATTTTTATCTGCCTTGATATCCTTGTTTGAGGTTTGATGAATAGTTTGGATCAAGTAATTGTTCTTTTATTAAATGATTTTCTATTAAAAATATGCATACAGTGTGAAAACTGCTGAAAAATATTTAAGATGGTGCATTCAAGTTATTCATTCGCAGCAATAAATATTTATTAATATTGACACTTGTTTCACTTGTATCTTGTTTTAAAACATACAGATCAGAGGTGAAACAGACAGAACCAGGTCTGACGTGGATTATTAATTCAATCTATTGTTGGTTCACCTCTTTTTCAAGATTATGCCATGCTATCAGATTCAGAGCTGCTGCCTATGGCAGTGAAAACAAAGAAATGGTCCTTTGCAAAGTAGCAAGTCGGCTTTTCTGGTCCACATTGGATATAAAATAGTAAGAAAATGAATAGCAATATCATAGCTCAGGTTATATGTATACAAATGATGTACTGTGACCATTTGTACTAACAAAAGTCTTTTAACTTCTTAGCGAAGCTGAAATACCATAAAAAAACAAAAAAACAAGAGGACATCTTGGATAGAAGTGAAATTATCAGCAAGCATAAATTGAAATCAGAATACAATTATAATTAACTGCACCGGCCTAACTTTAATTAATGCATCTTTTTAGGGTGAAACAAAGAAACTAAAAGGATTTTGTTTCAAACGAGGTTTATTTTTACGGCATTATTCTAGTGCTTGTTTAAACACCAAGCAACGAATACACATTTAATCGGCTTTTCAAAGAAAAATAAAGTTGCCCCACTGTTCATACAGTTTTAGACCACCTGAAATTTTTCAGTCATTTCTGGCAGAGTCAATATTTTCAGCAGTGTTGTTCTCCATCAATGCTTCTGTTACTATGATTGGAAAACAGCCTTCAGTTGTCTGAAATGATTATGTCATGTGTGAAGAGTCTTCTTACAAACAGCTTAATAACAGAGGCTCCAGAGTAAATGCTACAAACTACTGCTGGAAGGCTGTGACACAGCAGGCAGAGTTCAAGGAAGCAATGCTAAACAAAGACTGATGATTGCGCTGTTCGTAGTTAAAAAGACTTCAATTTCAACAGACTGCACACTAGACAAATCAATACTATACAACATATGAGCGCTGCGCCTGTGTGAGGGGGAATAAATAGTTAGTAGTGATTGTATTCCAAAGAAAATCAAGGGAAAACCGACAAAGCTGAAATTGTTTGTTCTGCTGGAAATGTGATTAGTCCTTAGATGAACAAGTTACTGTCAAAAAATGCACCACAAAAAATGTTAAATAAAACTAAGGATAGAGGAAATATTGCCTAAAGCTTTTTGAAAAATAAAACCAAGATTAATTTACCTTTAATCCATTTAATTACATGTAATTAAGCATTATATCTATCATTGATTAAAGGGGTAATAGAATGATTCTATAGGGTATTTGGTGCTGGTTCTTAAGGTCTCCGAATAGGATTGTGTAACATTGGTTGGGCTGAAAATGGCATATTTGCTGTTCTATGAGCCCTAATGCAAGCCTGGCTAATAGCCCGAAAGGTTTTCTTCCTTTTATGGTGTGATCATGAATATTTAGATAAGCTGTGTGCTGATTGGTTGGTTTACAACGACCAAAGATGCTGAGTAAAGACGCATCATAGCAACAAGCACTCACTCACTGAAACATTAAATTGTTGATATGGTAGGCTGACCAGACGTCCTCTTTTTCCTGGGCATGTCCTACTTTTCATGCCTGAAAAAATGTCTGGGCGGAAATTTCAAAATCGTGACAAAAGTCCAGAACCAAACAAAGCACCACCCCCGAGTTGACGTAAACTCGGGGCTTCGTTTGGATTCGCCTGTTTTATGCTGGAAGTTTGGAATTGTGAGATTTGCAGAGAAAGGAGGTGTTGATTGGGTTTGAACAACCCACTGAACTGTCATTATTTATCTATGACAAAGTCAACACATACTGCATGTACAACACATACTGTTTTTTGACACGACAACGACACACATGCAAAATTGTTATCTAAGGCAGCTTTAGCAAATAATTAAATTAACATGACACAACTACTCCCCTCTTGACTTTATTTGGAAACTTTTACTTTAAGCATGAAGAAAATCAACTTGAGGACAGATGTTCTAAAAGCTAGACTCTGGACTCCACAGGGAGGGAGGAGAAGCTGAGCAAAAAGCACCAAGGCAAAATAGCTTAAATAAGTGTGGTGAATAGAAAAAAAAACATTTCATAAACATTTGCAAACACCCACTATGTTTTTTTCCCGGGTGTTGTTCAAGTGAACCCAATATGAATTTCGTGCTCAGGGAAAACTATTTCCATGATATTCCTATGTAGAGAGTGCCTTTGAAGATTTGGGGATAAAAGCGAAGGCAGCATCTGGAAGGGTGAATGGCGTTGTTTTTTGGTGAATAAAGCAAAGTGTGAGTACTGCCGGTGCTGAGAGGTACCCAAGGTGCAATTCGTAGGAATTTAAAAACCGAAAATTTTGTTTACATAAGCTTTAGGAAAGCCAATCAGGGACCATCATGGCTATGACACTGGGTGAAGGAGGGCAGCAGGTCTTACATTAACCCTTGTCATATGGCATTTATTGCACTTATTTTTCTCTAAGACCAATTATAGCAATGATGAAATATTCATTTCCTTCTCAGTCCTTCTCTCACACTATAATATTATTTGTATATTACAGGTTCATCAACATTAGCAAAAAAGAAAGTGATTAAAAATACTCCAAATACATTTAAAACACAAGATAATTTTATAAAAAATTTTCTAGTTTTCCAGAAGGTTATTTTAACCTGAACTGATACTAAATTAATGTTATTTTATGTTATCGAATTCAATTTAAAGGCAGTTAACAGAGGCAAATTGTGGATGAGGTTGTATATGAATAAAATGCAGGAAGGATCTATTTAAGAGCAACAGGTTCAAAGAAAAAAAAAAGAATATGTAAAATATATTTACATCCCACTTTTTAATTTAGGGGGGATCAGTGGAAGCTTTGCAGGTGTGACTCATGTTCACTGGGGAAACAGAGGAGAGTCACTCTGCTCTGGAGGAGGGAAGGGCTGCTCACACACTGCTCACTGAAGACACTAAACTCAGAGCAATCGGTGCATGTGTTGTCACCAACGTCTCCAAAAAGGCAGGATATGGTCACTTGGTTTTATTTACTAGTCTGAAAAGTCACTAAGTATAGTAACAAATTTGCTGAGTTGGCAGCATTGTTCTCACCTGCCTGGGTGCGCTGATGGCAGTCTGGTGCAGGGTTCACGTTTTCAAAGCACTTCCCTCAGGTTTATTCTCAGATGAGGAGGCAAATGACTATTTCCATGGCTACTACGCTCATTGAAAGACAGGATAGAGATATTTCCATCGTATGTAGTTTTAATGTAACCAAGGCAGTAGCTTTTTCCTCCCTAAACTTAATGTTTAGGGATTGCAGGGGTCGCAGCATCTTCACCTGCATCTGTGAGCGGGGTTCCTGTTCTCACGACGCTTCTCTCATGTTAAGGTGCTGATGAGGAGTAAAATGTTTGCACACTATTGTGCCACTGTAGGCGTCGCAGCAGGGACGTCTCGTAACTGGTTCTGGTATTTTCCTTATATAAATTTATCATTTCAGTTTCTGGAAATTTTTCCCCCTTTCCTATTCTTAATAAAAGACAAACAGACATCCCATTTGAACCAGGTCTGAATTATTTCACGAGCAAAATGTGAAAGAAAGCGGGGAAAGCTGTACTGGCACACATGCTGCTATTTCTTTTTCCTATTTTTAGGCGCAAATGTGAGTAAAATGCTCGTACTAGACAGCCCTTTGTATCCTCTCAGGACTTATATCTAAAACCAGACGGGTTTATGCTTGCATCAACGATTGGTTGGCAAAATAGAACATTGCTAGCACAGTTGCAGTGTTAATACTCCGTGCAGCGTTCTACGCTGTACTCTACATCTTGGTTATCTCCAGGGGAGAGTGTAGGGCACAGACCAGAAACATACAGAAAAAGTGGAAGGAATGAATTTAACGCTGCAGTATCATTTTTAAACCTAAGCTTGTTTTCTTGCATTTTTCTTTTTTTTGATAATATATATATTTTCAGTAGTTTCTTGTAGGGATGGAACTGTTTATGAAAACCGTACAAACCGTTCGGTTCGACTGTCTCGGTTCGATTCGCGTGTGTTGCGTTCGGTTCATGCGCTGCTCCTTTTTCTCATAGGCGAAGCGTGTACACTCCAGAGCAGAAGGTGGCGGTACTGCGACCAAAGCCAAGTACCAGTAGTAAACAAAAAGAAGCAGCAAAGCAGCGTAGCCAGGTGTAGCAGAAAAAAAAATCAGTTGTTGTGGAGAATTGTGTGGGTATGGCGAGTGGGAAAGAACAGGAGTTGGAAGATGCGCCAGCAGCACGCTTTGTTTATGCTAACACGTTTTGTTTATGCTAAAAGCAACACGACCTACATGTGAGGCTAACAATCAACATATACCGAACCGAAAACCGTGACCACGAAACCGTGAACCGAACCGTGGATTTTGTGAACCGTTCCACCCCTAGTTTCTTGGTTACGTTATTCATCATTTAATCATATACAGAAAGGACTTGAAAACATCTGAAAGAACTGTGTCATTAAATTCCAATGCCATCTCCGATAATAATTTAAGCCAAGAAATTGAATCATAGCTGTTGATTAAATTAACTTAATCTAGTTTGCCAAATTAAGCATGCTAGTCGTGCTGATCATAGGGGCATCTTTTTATTTTTCCACTGTCTGCCTTTCATTTCAAAGAAAATTTGGAATATCAAATTTTCTTCCAATCTACGGCACTTATTTCCAAAGAACCAACTAGACCGCTGCCAAACTACAGTAAAGTAATGTTGCAGTCAAATTGTTGCAGGTTGCAGCATTCCGTTGTTTTCCTGTTATTATGGAAACATCTCTTTTTCTTTTCTTTTTTTTTTTTAACCAATGATTGATCTGAAGTTTACATAAAGTTGGTTCATTTCAAATTTAAATGAAATTTGTGATTAAAAATTTAGGATTTAGATATTGCAACAACTTAATCAAAATGATTATTTTAAAGCTGATTTACACTGACTAAAATATGTTAATGAATTCTAACTTTTTTTTCCCCACTGGGAGTGGGAGAAGAGAACAAACTGAACTTCTCACTCTTTGAACCAAGACAAGGCTTGAGGCACTTTCAATCATCATAGCCAATCTATATTTTGCATGGAGTGAATTGAGCTGTTTTTGACTCCTAACACTTCTAGTTGAGTCTAAGCTTTAGAAAAATGACTGGTTCTGAGGCATACAGACTGAAAAAAAACTTAGCTTACCATTACTTCCATATTCTGTTGGGGATCTTGGAATCCGTGGACTGTCAATTTGCGCAGCACTAAGACAGGCCAGCAGAAAAACATAAAAGTTAACATGCAAGACTGTCAAGAGATACAAACTGGGTCAACAAAAATCACCGCTTAAATACAGCAGTGTTTAATTCAGACAAACGTAATATTTAGCGGAGTTTACAAATTTTCTTAATAACTGAGTTCTCTAATTAGCTGAAATAGGATGAGTAAAATACATTATGAAACATATGGTTCAACAATTAAGTCCAGATAATGTTTTTGGATATATGACAGCAAACCTTTAGGCATTAAATACAGTTATAGTGTAACAGGATAAACATTATTACAGTTTTTACCATTCTTTGAGATCTAAAAGGTCAAGAGCTATAGATGGCTAATATCACAACAAAACAAATGAAGATTTGATTTGTTAATGGAAAAACTGTATCCATGCTAATCCAGTTTGCACACTAATCCTAAGAAGCAGTGATGTTATCCTTGGTTTAACAAGTGGCAACAAAAGGTTTAAATGCTGTAACAGGCAATTACCGGTAGCCTTTCATACCATTGTGAAGAAACTCTGGCCTGCTCTTCTTTTCTTGGTTGCTTATATCAGCCTTACTCAGCAGTTTTTTTAGCAGCAGCAGCTTGTTTAAGGTCAGACTAAAGAATTTCATTTAGTTTTTCTAAACCATTTACAGGTTGACTTGCGGGTTTATTGGAATCATTCTCCAATCAATTATAAAATGACATCTGCCAGTGAAGAAGAAAAGCAACCCCAGAATATTATACAGACATCATGTGGAAATATCGGGTTGGCATTATTTACCAGAAAGCTAAATGGATTTTATGCCAGATGCAATAGGACAGAAATCTTGAGGAATATCTCATCAGTCCAAAGAATGTTAACAAAAGTCTTGGGAATAAAGATTTTTTTTTTTTTTTTTTTTTGGGGGGGGGGGGATTTAAAATGAGCTTTTTTTTCTAGTCAGAACTCATCAATGGAGAGCATTTTAATCAATTTATTTTTTGTTCTTGAACTATAATCTCTGTTCTTAAATGATTAAAGTGAGGACTGGAGAGTTTAGATGTTGCTCTTATAACTCACTTTTCATGTTCTCCCCATGTCTGGAGAAAAGGCTGTAAAGGGCCTTCACCTAAGTCCCAAACCTTTGAATATGCTCTTTTATGCATTCCTGAATAGTAAATGAGTTTTCATTTACCACTCATCAAGTACGGATGTGGCTCATGTACCTTATCCAAATATCTCTTAATAAGTGTTAATGGCAGATTCAACAATCAGAGTAAGATTGTTTAGTTGTTTTAGGTTATCCTTTAGGTGCAATTGAAAAACATCCTTTGATGTGAAAAGCAGTAAAGGTGCCACATCTGGTCATGTGTGAGTTTTGGAGCAGTTACCTTTAAGAGACAGCAGAGTCCTCTCCAAAGAGTTGAGCGCTGCAGCCTCATCTCTAGCACAGACCTGCTGCAAGAAGCAATCCGTGTGATGACTCCACAGGGAACACGCAAAGCTGTATATGCCAGATGCCAGCTGCCAAGAGTCATAATGACAGCAAAGTCAGTCAAATCCAGGTAGCACTGTGGATTTAGGCAGACATTTCAGCTCACTGTGCAACACCAGTGAAATTAATAACATGTTAATTATGTATGAGCATAATAGATTAGCATGCTTGTGAACAGCACCTGAAACAGAGACTAATCTTGTTATTGATGCACTCCCCTTACAAGTAGAAAGGAAAGTGGAAGCTTTAAGATAAGAGCTGTAAATTATTCTTGCTAAGGTCAACTTTGGACTAAAATAATTATAAAAACCTCTCAAGATGCAGGGTTTTTATGGTTGCTAAACAGGGCAAAGCCTTTGAATTTCTTGCAATAAAAACAGTGACTAAAGATTAATTTCATCTTGTTACCCTAAAGCCACAACTGCATCACAGATTCTTCAACTGTGAAATGCCTTTGATAAATAAGCAGTTTTCAAAGATAATGGAAAACAAAGTGAAATGAAAACTTGAAACTTTGTTAAAAAGTAAATGAGCAACAACAAAAAAAATAGAAAAAATAGAAAAATAAGATCCACTAGCTGTGCTGTGAGGAGTGTCTGCTGAAAAATAAATCCTTATTTTGACAGCACAGCATAGGCTTTAATATATTTGTAACGCAAACTGCCAGTGTGGCAGGTTTTCTCTTTAGAGAGACTTCTCAAAAGCTTCCATTTTAAATTCCTCAGATCATTTCAAATTCCTCAGATCCAAGCCTAATCCAATTTATAGAAGCTGAAATAAGATGAAACAAAGTTAGAAAATGATCTTAGATTACGTCCTCCACTCTACCAAATGTTGGTTTCAAGTCTTATTGCATCAGCTGATATGCAAAAAATGTTAATTTCTCCATAGGCTTAAGACTTGATTTTGAACACAAAAAAAAAAGTGTTCGTGTGACTGGAATGGTAAGAATCCAATACTCCAAATGCTGAAGGTGCTTGTGTTTATGACTGAGTCAACAACCTAAAATGATTATATATTTATTAAGATATATATAACTGACAATTTAAAGATTTGGGTTTTCATTTATGTTATTATTACACATGTATGTTTATTAAAATCATTAAAAAGGACCGTAACATTTGGGTTTTTATTACTAATTATTATTTATTATTAAAAAATACAAAAATTTTGCCAAAGTATACATTTATCAACACTGAAAGCATTTTCATTGCTTAAATTTAGCAGTTTATAAGTATCTTAGAGGCTGTGCCTCCAATGGGAGATGCTATGTTGCGTCGCCATTTTTGATCAGAGTTAGGGCTGGGTGATATAGAAAAAAAGCTTATCGATAAAAAAAAAAATGCATATTGATCGATATCGATAATTATTGAAAAGATTTGAAACCATATTTTATGTGCAGCTCTGCCTGGACTTTTTATAATATTGCTAAATGATTTAATTTTAATAAAAAACACAAACACAGACTTCCAATTAAATCTTTATTTAACCAACTTTTTTAACCATAACAGAATTGTTTTAAAGAAAAATAACTTAGGAGACCTGAGTTATGTTATTAAATACTGACAAAGAATAAACTAAAGTGACCAGAAAAGTGACCAAAATAAATATAACAAATAAATAAATGCCCCCCCACCGCCGCCGCCGCCCCCGTTTCCTGCTTTAACCTGAGTTATTACCTCAGCATTTTTATCTCAATTGTTAGAACTACGTGGGAAACTGCCCAGAACTGAAAATATATATATATTTTCCCGAAATTCCCGAAGATTCCTCGGAGGAGAGCCGCGCCGGGGATTACACAGCTCGTACTCCTGCGGGTGTGAGCGGCTGAGATGATAAAAAAAAAAAGAAGTTGGTTGTGTTATCAGACTTGGTTTTCACTGGTTCCCTACACATTTTACAGATGACTGTGGTTTGTTTTTGGTCCGACTTGCCATGACCGAAATACTGCCAAACAGGCGAACTACAAAAACCCTTCTTTGAAACAATTTCCTCCGCCTCTCCTTGCTGTGACATCTTCATGTGCTCTGTGCTGTGGTTTGAGAGGGCGGCGCTTGGTGACGGCGTGCCTGGGTCCGCGATTGTGATTGGTTGGGAGGAAGCAGTGACTAGCATAAACCTACATGCTAGGCTACAATGAGAAGGAAGGAAAACTGCGTTTCTTTTTTATCGAAACTTTTATCGACCCTCTTTTTTTCTATTGCGCCACACGTCTATCGATCGATATATATCGTTATTGAATTATCGCCCAGCCCTAATCAGAGTAGCCGAAAGGCGACAAAATTGTCAGTCTAATGCGTTTATAACAATCGTAGTTCATTTTATCTTCTACTTTCTGTTACAATAGAGGACTATTCGTACTCTTTGCCCAGTGAGAGGCAAGCAAAACAAACCCAAATAAAAAAATTTAAAAAGTCTATTTTGGCACAGCTTTTAGCAGGTGGAGACAATTTATGAGGAAGCAGGGTTTCAAAACGGATGTGAAGGTTGCACGCTTTCTGATGGACAGGCAAGGTTATTCAATAACAGCAAAGTTTATAAGGGCTTTATACAAGAAACGGGGCATCCAGGGTGGTCTAAGAACTAGCCTGCCCCCTAAAAGGAAACCACTAGTTTCTTGTTCAGCTCTGTTTTCAGAGAGCCTTTCCATGTGATTCATAATCTATTTTAACTGAATATTTCAATGGTGATTAAGTTGGCTCTGTCCTCCCATTAGAGACAGCTAGTTTGCCTGTTTGCCCACACTGAATGAGCTACAATGCAACAGTTATCAGCTGCTGTTGTTCTTCAAAGTCATACCAGCAAACCAGCTTAGCTTCTATAGCCCTGATTTTAGAGAAATTATCCACATGCTTAATTGTTTATTTGAGCTGATTAGACAAGGGTGACCGGGGTTAGTGTGTCCCCTTTATTCAGAAAGAATGTCACTCTGCAGCTTCCGTAGCAGTTCCAGAGCATATTATACAGTCGTTTGAAACTCAGTGCACAACTAGATGGAGGCAAATCTAACTCATTCAAACATTCAAATTAAATTGAACATGATATCATTTGTAAAAAATTTAATGAGCCTTTTAATTGTGGCTGTGATATAAAGCATATTAACCTGATGAAAATATATCATCTTTGAAAAGAAAATGTGAGCAAATCAAAGCTCTACAATCATAAGGGAAACACTAAACACACAGACATGAGCAAAAGAAATTGAGTTTAGTTAAGACAATTTTGGGACAAAAAATTCAATCAATAATGAAAATCCTTTTGAAAAAAGACTTTTAAAAACAATGTAAGCAGTAATATATAGTGCATAAACTGTAGTGGCGCCTTTAAAAAATAAAGATTAAAATCCTCAAACATGGACGGTCCAAAAACTTCTTATTTTAAACACGTATAAATCATATATATCCAGTTTAATACATGATGCCTGTATTCCACTTTGTTTTTAGCTGTAGGAAATTAAAAAGACAAAAATCATCTAATGTGTTTTTATCTTAATAAAAGAACCAATTATCATAGTTGAGAAGGAAGGCTTTAAAAAATGTAAAGCAAAAAAGGCACCTCTGGTGAACTTCTCTAATCATAAATATATAATATATTATAAAACAACAAAAGCTGAAAAATAGGAGCTCCAGGCTAATAATCAAAGAAGAAAAATAGCTACTATGTTCTCCTAGTGGCTGCAGAATGAAAGCTTTAATCAGTAGTTTATAATTTATTAGGTAGATATGAAAAGCAGTTTGCTATTTACATGGTAGGAAAACAAAAAACAAAACAAAAGCATAAAAGTTATTACAAATAAGGAGTTTTGGAAATTACTAGAGAATCACTGAACATCCAAGAATCCAAGACTTTTCTGACCCCTGGGTAGATGTATGCATTTCAAACACACCTTTTTAACAAATAGAGTTAAAAAACAAAACAATCAAGCATCAGGGAAAGTTAGCAAGTTCCTTATATGCTCTGACTTTCTACTCAAATCAAACAAGCATCACAAAAGGAGACTACAGATTATTTTGATCACTAATATTATGAAGAATATTCGTCCTGAACATGGTTTCCTGATAATAGTGTTCTGACAAATAAGCACCCAGTAAGCAGTAACTAGAGAGATGCACATCATTACAGAAAGAGGAAATGAAGGAGTTTTCATGGTTCTTGGCCTATGGTAACAGAGATGACCATGAAATTTCCCAGAATGCCCTTCAGACAAGAGAATGTTTATATTAAAGCTGCGTTTACCATTTTTACAGATAATATACTGTGCATTAAGGTATATTTTTACTAGGATCTTAAGATTTCAAAAACTATGAGCGATCATAGAGCTGGACAATACCTCAATATCAATATATGGCCCGATATCATTTCACTAATGATGATATGACATTTGAACAACATTTATAGTATAGGGTTATAGTTTGGTCACTGACTGATGTTAAAGGCACAGGCCATTTAAACCAAACAGATAGAGCCTATGTTAGAGTTGACGTACACCGCAGACAGGGAGCCTGTGCTCTGCAGCTGTAGGCTGTGCTGCACAGCTGCTAAGCTTCAACCATGTAAGTTTTAGCAATAAAAAAGCACCAGTGATAACATGGCTGAACGTCCCTTTCTGGACTACCCATACCAGGCAGAAGCCTTCTGCAAAATGTTCCAGACTTTACGTGTGATGAATGAGAAAAAGGGTTTTGCAGACAGTTTTGAAAGCATGTTTCTCATAAGGCGACAGTCACTCAACGTCAAGCTGCAGTCAGAGAAGGAGAGCTTAGTGCCACGGACTGAGGAATATGAGGAGAGAGAGAATTACCTGTTTCAATGTGCATTTCATCTGATGGGCTTCAAGCTCCAAAAGAAAGATGTTAGAAAGTTTATGGATTTTGCATAATAACGTTCAGATGTTTGTATAGTATTCCGTTGTAGGCTTTCTTGGGAATTTCTCTGTGGCTCCAATATTATTTACCGTATATCAATATTGGCATTATATTGTATAGATAGAATTGAAAAGATATAATGTGATATATTGTCCAGCCCTATG